CTTTTGGCTTTTTAGGTCTTTATTCTGAAATGTTTCCTAACTCTGGTAGCATGAGTTTCCAATGCGACAAAAATAGTTACTATGGCGTTACTTTTGAGTACTTTTCTAATGTTAAATGGAATAATGTTAGTATTGGGATTAGGTAGACAACAAGAACTGTCTGAAAACTGATGTAACATGGAGACAATTGTTATCAGTATTAATCATCTTTTTCTTGTCTTTTATTTCTTTATTTCAAAGTGTATTTCTATTCCATTTTTGAATGCCATTCATACTCCTGTGGTATACGTGATAATTAGCGAATCACAGATTGGAAAGTTGGATACGTGCTCATAGATGATGAGGACAAAAAATGGTATACTTTTCCTTAACTTTCTGTTTCTTCTCTATGAACTTTATGGAGATGAGATGTAGTGGAAATTTTTGGTTATTTTTGAAATTTTTGGTTATGCTCGAATTGCGACTCTTTACTATGCTTTACTATAGTGCTCGGAATGAGTTGATCTCCATCTTTTAAGACTTTGAAACTTCAATTTTTCAATTCAGTTGGGCTTATATATATATATATTTAAGATTGAAATTTCATCTTAAAAGGTCAACTTTATTGAGCCCTGATTGGCAATCATTATTTAAAAATTCTTTTTATTACATACTGATTTTTAATCACACATTCAAACAATAAAATATTCTATACGCAAACCAAAAATATTTTTGTACTTTTTAACCACACATATTCTCTTAAAAATTACTATTCAAACCATTATTTTTTTCAAATAATGGCCATCGAATAGAGACTAAGAGGAGTAATCCAAGCCTCATATATTGATCTATATTTTGATAATTACTTGAAGAGAGATTTATCTCCCAATATTTCCCTAAAAGATGGTGACTCGTTTGAATAGATTAATCTTGAAATTCATGTGCTTATTTTTTAATTTTAGTCAGACAAGATGATCACTACAACGTAGATGGAACCCCTTGACCGTTGAAAATATAATGGTTTAAATTATAAATAGATAGAAATGAGTGATGAATATGTAAATAGTACTCATGGATTCCTTGATTTGTATAGATAAAAAGTGAATTGAGTATTTGATAAGTGTAGTTTCTACACTTATTTGGAATTCCCAATGATGATATTTTATTATTCTTTGGATGGATTAGTACTTAATTTATTATTTATTACTTTTATTAGAAAAAATTCATGTTATAAAGAAGAATTAGAAGAAAGAACGGAAAAAGGTTAAAATGAAGCAAACCCAAAGTTTGAGGACTAAAATGTAAATACTCAAAAGTTATTTTGGACCTCACGATGAAGATTTGAGAGTATTCGAGGTCAATTGGATGAGAAAAGAAGTCAAAACGATGAATTATGGTCAAACTATTATCATACATCAACTTTCAACCGAAAAAAGTTATGTTTCAGATTTTTAACCTCATATTGAGATCTAATTTTGGCATAACAAATGTTCGAATTGGAAAATGATATATATGGAAGAATCGTAACCCTCTAAGTAAGCTTTTCGATGCATTTTGAATCACCTTAATTGAATATCGGAAGAGAAAGTTATGATAAGAATATTGAAGACTGTTTGACTGTCAACAATTAGGCAAGGCTTGCGCCCTAGCCTGCAGAGAGAGGCGCGGGCCCCCAAACCAAAAATGAGAGACTGAGGCACCCCAAGGCTCCCAGTCGTGCGCCTTAGATTACACTAGCGCTCATCTCAATGGTAAACAACAAAAAATTCTACGTTTCCTAAGGGCCGCTTGTGCCCCTTTAATTTCAAAAAGTGTATTATGGAATAGTAGTTGATATTAAAATATGTAGTTAAAAAAGAAGAAAAAGTTTTTTTATTTACGTATAATATTATTTAAATGAAGAATGTGTGATTGAAAATGAGCACTGCAAAAAAAAATAAACATCGTAGAATGGGTGACAAACAAAGGCTTATTTTATTTTAGTAAGCAACTTTCTTGGCATCATATAAATAGGAGAACGCGTCTAAACCTAAGGGAGGACGATTGTAAGCCGACTTTTGAGAGAAATAGAGAGAATTTGCATCGAAAAACGAAGAACTCAACGTTTGGATTCGGATTTGAAGGCGTAAATTGAAGATTTTCAGATTTTCTTCATTGTTTAATGATTCGGGTGATGACTTTCTTTTATTTTCTTTGTAATTCTTACATTAATATGCTAGGCTAAAATACATTATATTGAATGGATGACAAAACTCGTTGATTCTTAGTTTTTAATTTGAAACTTTGTGTTTTTATTTTAATTCTTGCAATGTGATTCCATTAATATACATAATCTCATTGTTTTAATATTTGCATACCATTAGGGCAATAAGTTGCTTATTTGTATTATTGAAAAGTTCACGATAAGTAGAACACTGTTATTGGAACACATGTGTAATAAACATTAAGAATAGTGTTTATGGCGTGCGCAATCATGTATGATAATTCTAAATGTCAATGCATGTTTGCCATATGAATTCGGGCGAGGAATAAGATTGTCTTGTGGTAACCATATGTTTATTATATCTTTGAAAAGAATAATAAATAAAAGCGGAATTATCAATTGTTACAACTGCATGTATTGAGACAATTATCATTGATCGAGAATTAGAACTAAGAATTGATCAGTAGAATCAAGAATCCGATACGTTCATTCATTTGACTTTTAAGCCAATTGTTATTAATTTCACAAGTTTTTGTTATAAAACGTAGTTAGTTAGCAACCAAGAATCTTTTGTGATAATCACGAATTTAAATATATCAAATATTATAACTTTCTTATCACGATTATTAATTGTATAACGTACTGTACACTTATAATAGCATTTATAAACAGTTTTTAAATATAAGACAAACATAGGAGCATCTTTAATCACCCCACATGTGACAATCCTCATTGTTCAATTTGTTTGAAGTCTTCTATTTAACTTATTACGTGTTTAGTAGGGATTTTAAGAATTGATTTTTTGACCGTTAGAGATAAAATATGTCCTACATGTGAGAGAATAATTCAAAAATGACGATTGGAATGGTGAAATAATGGTCAAAAAATTGATTTTTATTGGCTTAAAATCTACGTCAAACAAGCACTTAATAAATCCAACAGACTTAGAGTCGACCACACCTATCAACGATTATGGCCGAACCGCACCTGTCAGTCGCATTCGAATTGTATTGTTCTAACCAAACAAAACATACTTGAAAAAGATTTCTTAAACTCAAATAATTGCTGATAGACGAACAAATTAATTATTATTTTAATTACCAAATCATACGATTGCATGTAGTGTAAAGGATGAAGACGCTATTAGCAATCATTAAATCCATTCATGTGTACAACAGTAAGATGAGTGTGTTTGATATTAACAAAGGAATAGGGAGCAAAATGGAAAAATGAAGTTTAGAGTAGTAATTAACTCCGGAGAAAGCCCCATGGTCCAGTTCTTGTCCCAATCCTGCACTTTCAAATATGCAAATGTTAAGCAATTAGATTTTCGACAGTGATGTTGTTGAACTTCTATTCAGTAGCATGAATAAGGTTATTGAGCATTTTGTCATGAACTTGCCCAATTTGAATATTTTTATTCCTGCATTTGGGCGGCTGCTCGATGGCCGCTCGTCCGTGCTCACTTGGATTTGTTCATGCTCACCTGAATTCCTAGATCCGCTACTGACAGCAAGGGAGGGTCAAGTTCATGACAAGTTTTTTTTTTTAAAGGTTGCATCAAAAGAGTAACCATACGTAAAATAGAATATGTAGAGAGATCAGCCGATAACATACCTCAAAAATCCAGCTAGTGCCCGCAAACTCATAAAGATCGACAAGGCAATCCATATACCCACAAAACCATGGCTAGAGGATAGAAAAAACAAGAAAAAGATACTCGATGCAGCAATTAAAACCTGCGTCAACAAAAATCAGGAGAGGTAAGCTCAAAGTGAAGTCATTTCAATGTTCTTGATCGATGTGGGGATATAATGGAAATTGTGTACTTACCATGGAATATGCAGAATAAGCAAAATCTGATGCTCCAAAGTTTATTCCATCAAAAACAAATGCCAAGGAATTTATTGGTTGGGTCACTGCCACAAACTACACGGTAAAAATGTCAGCAAAAATGTGAGCAAAGAAAACAGAATCGTTTTCATTTTGTTGAGAGATTAAGTTACCGGGATGCCTAAATGTAAAAGGCGAAGAACGGTTATATCCTTTGTAAAAAACAAGAAAAAGATACTCGATGCAGCAATTAAAACCTGCGTCAACAAAAATCAGGAGAGGTAAGCTCAAAGTGAAGTCATTTCAATGTTCTTGATCGATGTGGGGATATAATGGAAATTGTGTACTTACCATGGAATATGCAGAATAAGCAAAATCTGATGCTCCAATCAAAAATGACGATTGGAATGGTGAAATAATGGTCAAAAAATTGATTTTAATTGGCTTAAAATCTACGTGAAACAAGCACTTAATAAATCCAACAGACTTAGAGTCGCATTTTGCTCAACCACACCTATCAACGATTATGGCCGAACCGCACCTGTCAGTCGCATTCGAATTGTATTGTTCTAACCAAACAAAACATACTTGAAAAAGATTTCTTAAACTCAAATAATTGCTGATAGACGAACAAATTAATTATTATTTTAATTACCAAATCATACGATTGCATGTAGTGTAAAGGATGAAGACGCTATTAGCAATCATTAAATCCATTCATGTGTACAACAGTAAGATGAGTGTGTTTGATATTAACAAAGGAATAGGGAGCAAAATGGAAAAATGAAGTTTAGAGTAGTAATTAACTCCGGAGAAAGCCCCATGGTCCAGTTCTTGTCCCAATCCTGCACTTTCAAATATGCAAATGTTAAGCAATTAGATTTTCGACAGTGATGTTGTTGAACTTCTATTCAGTAGCATGAATAAGGTTATTGAGCATTTTGTCATGAACTTGCCCAATTTGAATATTTTTATTCCTGCATTTGGGCGGCTGCTCGATGGCCGCTCGTCCGTGCTCACTTGGATTTGTTCATGCTCACCTGAATTCCTAGATCCGCTACTGACAGCAAGGGAGGGTCAAGTTCATGACAAGTTTTTTTTTTTAAAGGTTGCATCAAAAGAGTAACCATACGTAAAATAGAATATGTAGAGAGATCAGCCGATAACATACCTCAAAAATCCAGCTAGTGCCCGCAAACTCATAAAGATCGACAAGGCAATCCATATACCCACAAAACCATGGCTAGAGGATAGAAAAAACAAGAAAAAGATACTCGATGCAGCAATTAAAACCTGCGTCAACAAAAATCAGGAGAGGTAAGCTCAAAGTGAAGTCATTTCAATGTTCTTGATCGATGTGGGGATATAATGGAAATTGTGTACTTACCATGGAATATGCAGAATAAGCAAAATCTGATGCTCCAAAGTTTATTCCATCAAAAACAAATGCCAAGGAATTTATTGGTTGGGTCACTGCCACAAACTACACGGTAAAAATGTCAGCAAAAATGTGAGCAAAGAAAACAGAATCGTTTTCATTTTGTTGAGAGATTAAGTTACCGGGATGCCTAAATGTAAAAGGCGAAGAACGGTTATATCCTTTGTAAAGAATTCAGATGAAAATTTTAGTATAACAGCCACAACAAGAGAGAGAACAAGCCCCAGAACCAAACTCCACTACAGATTAAAGACATCATTAGTACTGGATAGTAGAAGGACAGATTTAAAATAAAAGACACAAGAAAAGAATTAAAAATTAGAATTGATAACTCGAAAACTATGCTACCTGTAACACACGAACTTTTCAACAGTCACTTCTCCATCTCTTTACAAGTTACAAAACACTAGATATCAAGATCCCCCATTCCCTGCAAATCGTGAAGCTTTTTTTTTTTCCTTTTGAATGAAGGGAAGATGATTAAATGGCGAAAACTATGCTACCTGTAACACACGAACAGCAGTGGCGGTGGCTCTCTCATAATCTTTTCTTGCAAATGCATTGGCTAGAATCGCCTGTATAACAATTTAAAGCCATACAGAGATTTATAGTGGTTCACCCTCAATACAAGAGGTATGTTCACTTGCCGTTCCAAATTTTTCACAATGATAGAGAAGGTGATTACAAGGTTTTTTCACACACGTCTTTGTCTTGTGTGGACAAAAATGGCTCCCTCTAAAACTCTAGTAATATTAAGATGACCTAAGACGTGCAGATGACTACCAAAGAGGGGAGGGTCTACCCCCCCAGCGCAACTCCGGTCAACCTTACTGAGAAGTTTGATCCATAATCAAGGGGAAAAGTGTGAAGTGCAATTAGGCTCCCCACAGACCAACAAAGATGACAATGAAATAATGAAAACAAAATAATTCTTACTTGTCCAGCTACGGCTAATCCATCAGCAAGCAATGAGGTTGCTAACCAAACTTGCAAGCACACCTGAAAGGCAGCCATGGATGTTGATCCCAGTTTTGCAGCCAATGAAGCTGCCAGTGTTATGCAGGACGTTGCTGCAATTACCCTGAATAATAAAAGCAATCCTGCCCCCAAGTATTCATATAAAAGAAGTTATGCTTTATACACTTGATTTCATGGATGAATATGCAGACGAAGGATTATGTGAGGAGTTGAGATGGGTGGACTGACAAGGGAATGGAAATTGACATTTTTTCACCATGGTTTATTGAGAACAAATATCAAACATTAGTATTTACGGAAGCAAACGTATGGTTACTCAAATATCATACATTTTATGTACAAAATTATTACATACATTAGTAATATGAATCAGTGAAATTTGCAATTTTAAAAAGAGTGCAATTTGAGTAAAAGCGTTCGGCAAGACTATTAATCAAGAAAAAATGTTCAGCAAAAAGAAATATAGTAAGACGAAATTCCTATTTCAGCTTTATTCATGCTTAAAATTACACATATTATAAAATTAGGAAATTTATTAATTTCCACGGCTATAATGTGCTTATGAAAATGTACATTTCTGTATTATTATATGTTGCGATGGCTTGTCTATTTGTCCACATTATTTCTTCAACTCAAAGAATACAATAGTGTCTAGTCCACTGATTCTGTCTATAAGTTTGGCTTTTCAACAGTCACTTCTCCATCTCTTTACAAGTTACAAAACACTAGATATCAAGATCCCCCATTCCCTGCAAATCGTGAAGCTTTTTTTTTTTCCTTTTGAATGAAGGGAAGATGATTAAATGGTAAAGGTTATTCCAAGGTGCACAATCATGGTGTGTTTGGGAAGTAGTGCTAGATGGGATTGAACGATACAATTGACGAAAATACTGACCATTTCAACTTATCAAACATGCTACAAAAGCATGAATAGAATAACATAATGCAAAGATATACAAAATCCCAAATCCCTCACCATTCTTGAAAAACCGACCAAGTTGCAGGTCTTTTACTGTTGGAGGCAAGAGACTAACTTGTTCACTTAATCTCCACATGAGCATCAAGGCAATTAAATACCTATAATACCGTACGGAAAATGAGAAGAAAGTCTTAACTCTTTAAGTGGACCAAACAATAACTCCATAAATGTAATTTCTATAGATAATTCAAGTTGAAAAATGAAAAATGCTTTATGAAGTCATAAAACTTACTGGGAAATGACATGGGCAATGGCTGCACCGCTAACACCCATACCGAACAGGAAGATGAATATAGGGTCCAATACTATATTCGCCGCATCTCCAACCACTACATTGCAATGTAAAAGTTCAACAAATTATCCTCTATTTGAATGTCTATTCAGATTGGGTTGCACTAGCAGTTTTCGTAGTTCTATATGGACGACTTTCAAGCTTGCAGTCGATCATTTTCTAGATGAATGACAAATTTTTAATATGTGTACTGATGTGATATGTCAAGTTGATAACATGCTGATCATATGTACGTTTCTAATGAGAAATTAACTTGAATAAAAGCGAAATATTTGCTTACTAGTTGCATACAGAGGAGTTTTTGTATCCTTAAAACCCCGAAAGACCCCTTGCAATGACAAAGAAAGAAGAACGGCTGGAGCACCGACTGACCTCAATGTTAAATACCTTAGTGCTGGTTTCAGCATAGGCGAATTCTACAAAAGTAGAAGTATCCTTAAGCTGTTCATCTAATGATATAGTGATTGCTTACAAAAATGGAAAATTTATGCTAGAAAAGAAACATATAAGCAATTTCCTGGAGTTCACGGATTCCACTATTGGACTTCAATATTAGGAGCTAATAATATTTTAGAAACATATGTATTAAACAACAAACCAGAAAAGGTATTGACAACGTAAGAGTAGTGAAACAGATTTTTTTTTTCCTCTTTCTTTGGGGCTGCACAAAAGCTATTCGACATTTGAAGGAGAGAAGTATCCAAAAGCCCAAATAAGACTTACTGATTTAATCCCCATGTATTCAAGAATTGGTTTTGCAGCAAAAATAACGAATATAGATTGTATGAGGCCAAGTATGGCACCAATCGCCATTGCTGATGAAGCCGATGATATATGCCTTTTCTTATTCTCGCCATCACTAGTTTCTACACAGTTAATGGTAAATGGTGATTTTCTTGTCAACTCCGATTCAAAATTCAGCAGAATATTATCGTGATTTAAAGTAAAAAATAACTTACAGAGAAAAATGTCTTCTGACCTATATAGTAAACATTTATTAACCACTTGCTTATGAAATTCAAGAGGATAGAACTAGTGCATACCAGTTTTCGGTATCAACTCACTATCTGCAGAAAACCCTTTTTCCAATAATTTTATCTCCTCTGTTTCACCTTTCAAACTTCGCATAGCATCTTCTTCAGCAACAAAAGAAGTCGTGACACTAACAAGTGGGAAAATTGCAATTTTTGATACTTGATTAATGACGGCAATTGCAACTCCTACTGCAGCTAGCTCGACAGGACCTTTAGGATAAATGAGTATGAAAAAATAGACAGGAATAGAGAATATACAGTTGTTTTCATTTTAGTTAAGTAAATATCGAATCTCAGATAGATTCTATTTCCGACAGATTACGTTTTATTGATGAAATCTCATAAAATCAGTGACCAGGTATTTATAAGCGTAAGCATAATATAACCAAACTAATCAGAGGAGCAGTCAATCCTTCCTATCATAGCATAATGTCTTTCTTTGCAATACAAGTACACGAAGGTTTCAAATAAAAACTTCATCAGGAAAGATGATAAAAATCTAGAATAGAATTTCTCCACATGAATTAGATCTCTTGAGACAATGAAGAAGGGTCAAATCAATACGTTCTAAGAAGAAATATTTGAATTCTAAATGTTCATTAGCCATGAAACACTAGATATGAAAACAAGAATCAGGAGACACATACCTATATGGCCAATAAAAGCAGTGTCAATTAGAGAAGCAATAGGGTCTGCAGTTAGAGCCAGTGCTGCAGGCAAGGCAATCTGTGCCATTTCTAGACCTAACTCATCTTTCTTGAAAACTTCCCTACAAAGCATTAGAAACATGCATCCACTGAATTTAGATATTCTTTTTTTGGTTTTCCATTGCTCTTGGACCAATTCAGAAACATAAACACAAGAAATGACCTGTGAATTACAATGAGAAACAGAACAAAAACACGAGGAATGTCAAATCATAAATCGCAACAATGAGAGTCATTGGCTATATAAAGGTTCTGTAGCCCACAACTTGGAAAGAAAAACACAAGGATTGTCCAACAGAACCGGAGCAATGATCGAGATTAAGTTTACATACTCATAATGTGTTGCTTGTTAATATAAATTATTCTATAAACAAAAGCAAAGTTTCTCTGAAAGGAAGTAAAAGCTTTCCAAGAAACAATACCTTGGATTCCTGAATAAACCCCATAAAGGATTATCACCCATATTGTTCCAAAATGAAACGAGCACCCTAGTAATCATATTCAGTTCCCCAATTAGTAGTTAATCTCGAAGTTCACAGTTGAATCTAACTCATATACGATTTAGGTAAATGTACAGAAGGTGTTAAAAAATATAATAAAAAGAAAAAGTTGCAGAAAAGAGAAAAAAATCTTGAAGAAAAATGAAGATGAATGATCCCCAGAAATGATCTATAAAAAATGTATATATTTTGATTATTACAATCCAAGAACCGAGAATACTTAGCAGTAAAGAAAACGGTCTTAGATATACTACAAACAAAGAAATATTAATATAAACAAGGTCGTAACTAAGCAGCAATGTAACCAACCATTTTGACTATAAAAGTCATATATACCTTCCTCAGCTGTACAAAACCCAGAATGAGACTACAAGTGTAATAAAAATCGATAAAATCGTAAAATACTTAACAAAAGCAGGTAAGAAAGATATCTTAAAGATATCAAATACTCCATCGTCCAAGAAAGTATAGGAGATTATAGCCATAAAAAAATTGCATTGGAATTTCTGCAGCAACTAGATTTGGGCAACAGGAAAGAGCGAACAGTATTTACAAAATTCGGATGGTATAAGTAGTAACTAGTTATGGCAAAAAAATAGTAACAATTCCATTTGTTTGGTCTCAAATCAGTCGTAGGACGGTGGCTTTTCAATCACTTGACAATTGGCCGATGCATCGTTTTCCTCAAAATTAAAAACTGCTCCTCTGCTAATGTCAAATACTCTAAAAAAACAATATGCAATGGAAATAATAATTGGAATGCCGGATAACAACAGAGGGAGTTGCCATATTGGAATTGCATTCGGGTGCCAGTCCTGTTTCCTTTCGTTTTGGTCGGGGTATGTATGCACTGGTGTCAAACAACGCCGGGTCACATTCCAATCTCAAAAGTCCTGTTGAAAAATGGGTTTTCCCAGGGAAATGAATGAAATTTATTATGTTACACGGCGAATGTGCTTCTGTTTGAAAGCATGAGACCAATGAATAAGGCTGAACAAACAGGGAAAATAAAAAGGGAAAAAACAGACTGATGTGCAACCAATGATTGAGTATTTTTATGTTGTTTTTTCCCCAATTTCCAATGAGAATTTGTCAAGTGTTGTATGGAAATGAAATTTGTCACTAACTCCGGCCATGTAGCATGGTTGTGAGACCAATACATTTGAAATATACGATAATCATTTCATGTTCTTCAGAAGCGAATTTTAAACAAATAGCAAAATTTAGTTGAGAGAATAGTTTTCCATTTGAAGTTCAATAACCATACAATTGTTGGCATTATAGGAAACAGCCATGATAAGAAGTTCAAATCCTTGTCCGAGGCGGAAATTTCAGAATTGGTTAAACATGGGGTGTTCTATCTGTCTTATCAGATTGCTCAATTGACCGGCATGCGACACTGGCAGCTGGGCAGGTCCTTTAGTTATGTCTTTGGCAAATGCAACTGGAAGGGCTTCCACTGCTTAAATACTGGTAATAAAAGCTTCATTTCCATTCTGTACAATTGAGTTTGTACCCTTGGAGACTCTATCATTTTTCACCATCAACGACAGGAGCTGGTCAAGATGGTGACATATGAGACTCACATGACAAATTCTTAAAAGATGGGCATCAGGGCATGTTTTTAAGCCTTGATCCTTGTATGAGATTGTTTCTTTCATTTGAACAGCCTTATCTAGTGTCAAAAGATTTTTTGTGCTACCCACCACTTCGAGGAAGAGAAAGCTCCTATGTACCATACTATTTTTGTACCAGTGGAAGAGAGGTCTATACGTTGCTAGAGTCCAGAGTGAAGTCGGTAACTCGGGCTTGATAGGATAGGAGTGTGCATGTCGGCCCCTGCGGAGCCATACTTTGAAGATTGGCAATCTGAATTTCAATGGATGTATAGATTATACTAACCAGTCAGACTTTGCGGAACTGGCTAAATAGCATAAATGGCTTCAGTTGGGAAATTGGACAAAGGTTAAAGGTACTTGCAATTCAATCACCAATAATCACCACAGGAGCACTTCCCGTCCTCAAACCGATGAAATCGATTGTTATCTCTGACTATAATTATCCGTCCAGTGCACTTGGACATAAACTTTATTGCAGTGTGGCAATCACCACAGATGCGCAAGTTCTTCATAACTCTAATTGGACGTTCCGGTGGAAAGGTAATAAGTGCAAATGCAATGGCTAATCTCTCACTATGATATCGAATACTCTGGATCTTCTCATCAGCGCCAACTTCTTGCAGCACGTAACTCGTGTCTGCAACATAACCAACTCGCATCATATCCTCCCCCAGTTCCTCCAGTTTCCTATAAATCTCTTCAGATTTCGCATTGGCCCTATCCCCTGCAACAAATGTGTAAATCCTATTACCTTCCTCTACCCAGCTCAAACCAGTTTCCTTTTTCATTCCACAGTCCCTCAGCATTTTCCTTGCCGTTGCAGCCTCTTTATATCTACCAGCAGCTGAATAAGCATTGGATAATAGCACGTGTAGGCCAGGGCTAATAGGGCCTAACTCAAAGACTCTATCAGCTACGTAACCTGCCAACTCAGTGTTTCCATGAATTCGGCACCCAGTAAGTAAAGCTCCCCACACAGATTCTGTTGGTTGCATTGGCATTTCTTTAGTAATTTTAACAGCTTCGTGCAATTTTCCAGCTCGGCCAAGCAAGTCAACCATTGAAGCATAATGCTGATCCCCTGGCTCTATACCTTGATCCTTCATCAACTTGAAGTAATACTTCCCCTCCTCAACCAGCCCTGCGTGGCTACAAGCATAGAGCAGACACAAAAATGTAATGAAATTCGGCTTCGTTCCTACTCTTTCCATTTTCCCAAACAACGCAAACACGTTCTTTGTATGTGAATGTTGAGCACATGCGATCAACATTGCATTCCACATTCCTAAATTCTTATTCGAAACCTCATCAAAAACAAGATATGCTCCCTCAATGACACCACACTTTGAGTACATGGAAATTAAAGAACTTCCCACAAAACCTGACAAGTCATAGCTCATTTTCAAGCACAAACCATGCATCTGCTTCCCTAGTTCAAGCAAGGTCGAATTCCCACAAACTCGAATCACACTCGAAAAAGTAAAATCGTTCACACCCAAATCCTCAATCAAAGCGTCCTTAAAAAGCCTCAAAGCCTCCTCGTCTTCACCCATTTGCGCATACCCATATATCATCCCACTCCAAGACACCACATTTTTCTCCGGAATTTCATCAAACATCTTCCTAGAATCCACTAAACTACCACATTTTGCATACATATCCACTACAGAACTCCCAACAAACACATTAAAGTCATACCCAACTTTCACCGTAAGACAATGAACCGACTGCCCTGCACGATAATCATTCATCATCGCGCACGATTTAGTCACACTGGGGAAAATGTGGTCATCAGGATACAATCCACCAATACGAAGCATTAAGCAAAGATATTGAAAAGCTCGCAAAGGGAGCTCATTTTGCGAAAAACAAGAGATTAAAGAACTCCAAGTCGTAGCAGACTTGAAGGGAGTCTCATCAAACAATTTTTCCGAGTGGTGCGGGAACTGTAATTTCGCGTAAAAGTTGATCAAATGGTGGGATATCAGTGGGATGATCTGAAGTCCAGATTTAATGACATGGGCATGAATAGATTGACCTTTTAAAAGGGATTTTGCCCTAGTGAAGTCAAGCAAATGGTTGCATATGGTTCGGTAGTTGTGCTCGAAGCTTTGTTGGTTGAGTGAGTTTTGGAGGAAGTGGGTGAAGATGGGATGTCTTGGGGGTGGAGGTGGTTGCAGGGGTTCTTTGAGGAAAGGGTGAAGCATTTAGTGAATATCTTAAAGAGACGTGTGTTCTGGATGCATGACGGCGGCGGGCGGTTTCGGAGTAGGAGTATCAGTTCTCTGCCCCAGGATGCGGTGGTGGCCGAAAATTGGGTTTTCAATTAGAACGTAGACAAGAATTGGCGGACAAAAATTTGGGTTGAGAATCGGTTATTCTTATTGTGAACCGGCCGGTTCATCCCCCATCCCACCTCACAATTTTATATATATATATTTTTTTAAATATAAATGAAGTCGATTCCAAATTTTTTGACCGAATCAGCCATTTTAATAGATTTTGACAATCTTGGACAGACATTTCCCAAAGTTTGTTGCACAAGAGCAAACAAAGTTTTCGAGGTTTCTAAATTATTACAAATTTACATACGTCAATGTTTTTCTTAACATTTCTCTCGAATTTTTATTTGCATCATTTTCAACAATTTTCATTCAAAGTAGACACAGCTTGTCTTCAAGTATAAGTGCTAGTGGGGAATGATTTTTCAAAAAATAATTCTTTACAGGAAAAATGATTCTTAACCTATCATCCAGTGTACAAATTGTTGCAGAAGTTTCTTATATGCTCCCAAGTTTTATGAACCGCATGTTTGGCGCTCGAGTTTCCATGCCTCAAGGCAGATTTCTCTTTACTTTTAAATCGAAGAGTCCTAATAATTGGTTTACATGTATGCTTATAGGTAGATAGTTAGACAATACTTGCACATAATTATATCATTAGTGCACTCTTCAATGATATAAATAATATATCTAGCTGTTGACGATCTTGTCGCATCGTATTCCAAGGTGCACAATCATGGTGTGTTTGGGAAGTAGTGCTAGATGGGATTGAACGATACAATTGACGAAAATACTGACCATTTCAACTTATCAAACATGCTACAAAAGCATGAATAGAATAACATAATGCAAAGATATACAAAATCCCAAATCCCTCACCATTCTTGAAAAACCGACCAAGTTGCAGGTCTTTTACTGTTGGAGGCAAGAGACTAACTTGTTCACTTAATCTCCACATGAGCATCAAGGCAATTAAATACCTATAATACCGTACGGAAAATGAGAAGAAAGTCTTAACTCTTTAAGTGGACCAAACAATAACTCCATAAATGTAATTTCTATAGATAATTCAAGTTGAAAAATGAAAAATGCTTTATGAAGTCATAAAACTTACTGGGAAATGACATGGGCAATGGCTGCACCGCTAACACCCATACCGAACAGGAAGATGAATATAGGGTCCAATACTATATTCGCCGCATCTCCAACCACTACATTGCAATGTAAAAGTTCAACAAATTATCCTCTATTTGAATGTCTATTCAGATTGGGTTGCACTAGCAGTTTTCGTAGTTCTATATGGACGACTTTCAAGCTTGCAGTCGATCATTTTCTAGATGAATGACAAATTTTTAATATGTGTACTGATGTGATATGTCAAGTTGATAACATGCTGATCATATGTACGTTTCTAATGAGAAATTAACTTGAATAAAAGCGAAATATTTGCTTACTAGTTGCATACAGAGGAGTTTTTGTATCCTTAAAACCCCGAAAGACCCCTTGCAATGACAAAGAAAGAAGAACGGCTGGAGCACCGACTGACCTCAATGTTAAATACCTTAGTGCTGGTTTCAGCATAGGCGAATTCTACAAAAGTAGAAGTATCCTTAAGCTGTTCATCTAATGATATAGTGATTGCTTACAAAAATGGAAAATTTATGCTAGAAAAGAAACATATAAGCAATTTCCTGGAGTTCACGGATTCCACTATTGGACTTCAATATTAGGAGCTAATAATATTTTAGAAACATATGTATTAAACAACAAACCAGAAAAGGTATTGACAACGTAAGAGTAGTGAAACAGATTTTTTTTTTCCTCTTTCTTTGGGGCTGCACAAAAGCTATTCGACATTTGAAGGAGAGAAGTATCCAAAAGCCCAAATAAGACTTACTGATTTAATCCCCATGTATTCAAGAATTGGTTTTGCAGCAAAAATAACGAATATAGATTGTATGAGGCCAAGTATGGCACCAATCGCCATTGCTGATGAAGCCGATGATATATGCCTTTTCTTATTCTCGCCATCACTAGTTTCTACACAGTTAATGGTAAATGGTGATTTTCTTGTCAACTCCGATTCAAAATTCAGCAGAATATTATCGTGATTTAAAGTAAAAAATAACTTACAGAGAAAAATGTCTTCTGACCTATATAGTAAACATTTATTAACCACTTGCTTATGAAATTCAAGAGGATAGAACTAGTGCATACCAGTTTTCGGTATCAACTCACTATCTGCAGAAAACCCTTTTTCCAATAATTTTATCTCCTCTGTTTCACCTTTCAAACTTCGCATAGCATCTTCTTCAGCAACAAAAGAAGTCGTGACACTAACAAGTGGGAAAATTGCAATTTTTGATACTTGATTAATGACGGCAATTGCAACTCCTACTGCAGCTAGCTCCACAGGACCTTTAGGATAAATGAGTATGAAAAAATAGACAGGAATAGAGAATATACAGTTGTTTTCATTTTAGTTAAGTAAATATCGAATCTCAGATAGATTCTATTTCCGACAGATTACGTGTTATTGATGAAATCTCATAAAATCAGTGACCAGGTATTTATAAGCGTAAGCATAATATAACCAAACTAATCAGAGGAGCAGTCAATCCTTCCTATCATAGCATAATGTCTTTCTTTGCAATACAAGTACACGAAGGTTTCAAATAAAAATTTCATCAGGAAAGATGATAAAAATCTAGAATAGAATTTCTCCACATGAATTAGATCTCTTGAGACAATGAAGAAGGGTCAAATCAATACGTTCTAAGAAGAAATATTTGAATTCTAAATGTTCATTAGCCATGAAACACTAGATATGAAAACAAGAATCAGGAGACACATACCTATATGGCCAATAAAAGCAGTGTCAATTAGAGAAGCAATAGGGTCTGCAGTTAGAGCCAGTGCTGCAGGCAAGGCAATCTGTGCCATTTCTAGACCTAACTCATCTTTCTTGAAAACTTCCCTACAAAGCATTAGAAACATGCATCCACTGAATTTAGATATTCTTTTTTTGGTTTTCCATTGCTCTTGGACCAATTCAGAAACATAAACACAAGAAATGACCTGTGAATTACAATGAGAAACAGAACAAAAACACGAGGAATGTCAAATCATAAATCGCAACAATGAGAGTCATTGGCTATATAAAGGTTCTGTAGCCCACAACTTGGAAAGAAAAACACAAGGATTGTCCAACAGAACCGGAACAATGATCGAGATTAAGTTTACATACTCATAATGTGTTGCTTGTTAATATAAATTATTCTATAAACAAAAGCAAAGTTTCTCTGAAAGGAAGTAAAAGCTTTCCAAGAAACAATACCTTGGATTCCTGAATAAACCCCATAAAGGATTATCACCCATATTGTTCCAAAATGAAACGAGCACCCTAGTAATCATATTCAGTTCCCCAATTAGTAGTTAATCTCGAAGTTCACAGTTGAATCTAACTCATATACGATTTAGGTAAATGTACAGAAGGTGTTAAAAAATATAATAAAAAGAAAAAGTTGCAGAAAAGAGAAAAAAATCTTGAAGAAAAATGAAGATGAATGATCCCCAGAAATGATCTATAAAAAATGTATATATTTTGATTATTACAATCCAAGAACCGAGAATACTTAGCAGTAAAGAAAACGGTCTTAGATATACTACAAACAAAGAAATATTAATATAAACAAGGTCGTAACTAAGCAGCAATGTAACCAACCATTTTGACTATAAAAGTCATATATACCTTCCTCAGCTGTACAAAACCCAGAATGAGACTACAAGTGTAATAAAAATCGATAAAATCGTAAAATACTTAACAAAAGCAGGTAAGAAAGATATCTTAAAGATATCAAATACTCCATCGTCCAAGAAAGTATAGGAGATTATAGCCATAAAAAAATTGCATTGGAATTTCTGCAGCAACTAGATTTGGGCAACAGGAAAGAGCGAACAGTATTTACAAAATTCGGATGGTATAAGTAGTAACTAGTTATGGCAAAAAAATAGTAACAATTCCATTTGTTTGGTCTCAAATCAGTCGTAGGACGGTGGCTTTTCAATCACTTGACAATTGGCCGATGCATCGTTTTCCTCAAAATTAAAAACTGCTCCTCTGCTAATGTCAAATACTCTAAAAACAATATGCAATGGAAATAATAATTGGAATGCCGGATAACAACAGAGGGAGTTGCCATATTGGAATTGCATTCGGGTGCCAGTCCTGTTTCCTTTCGTTTTGGTCGGGGTATGTATGCACTGGTGTCAAACAACGCCGGGTCACATTCCAATCTCAAAAGTCCTGTTGAAAAATGGGTTTTCCCAGGGAAATGAATGAAATTTATTATGTTACACGGCGAATGTGCTTCTGTTTGAAAGCATGAGACCAATGAATAAGGCTGAACAAACAGGGAAAATAAAAAGGGAAAAAACAGACTGATGTGCAACCAATGATTGAGTATTTTTATGTTGTTTTTTCCCCAATTTCCAATGAGAATTTGTCAAGTGTTGTATGGAAATGAAATTTGTCACTAACTCCGGCCATGTAGCATGGTTGTGAGACCAATACATTTGAAATATACGATAATCATTTCATGTTCTTCAGAAGCGAATTTTAAACAAATAGCAAAATTTAGTTGAGAGAATAGTTTTCCATTTGAAGTTCAATAACCATACAATTGTTGGCATTATAGGAAACAGCCATGATAAGAAGTTCAAATCCTTGTCCGAGGCGGAAATTTCAGAATTGGTTAAACATGGGGTGTTCTATCTGTCTTATCAGATTGCTCAATTGACCGGCATGCGACACTGGCAGCTGGGCAGGTCCTTTAGTTATGTCTTTGGCAAATGCAACTGGAAGGGCTTCCACTGCTTAAATACTGGTAATAAAAGCTTCATTTCCATTCTGTACAATTGAGTTTGTACCCTTGGAGACTCTATCATTTTTCACCATCAACGACAGGAGCTGGTCAAGATGGTGACATATGAGACTCACATGACAAATTCTTAAAAGATGGGCATCAGGGCATGTTTTTAAGCCTTGATCCTTGTATGAGATTGTTTCTTTCATTTGAACAGCCTTATCTAGTGTCAAAAGATTTTTTGTGCTACCCACCACTTCGAGGAAGAGAAAGCTCCTATGTACCATACTATTTTTGTACCAGTGGAAGAGAGGTCTATACGTTGCTAGAGTCCAGAGTGAAGTCGGTAACTCGGGCTTGATAGGATAGGAGTGTGCATGTCGGCCCCTGGGGAGCCATACTTTGAAGATTGGCAATCTGAATTTCAATGGATGTATAGATTATACTAACCAGTCAGACTTTGCGGAACTGGCTAAATAGCATAAATGGCTTCAGTTGGGAAATTGGACAAAGGTTAAAGGTACTTGCAATTCAATCACCAATAATCACCACAGGAGCACTTCCCGTCCTCAAACCGATGAAATCGATTGTTATCTCTGACTATAATTATCCGTCCAGTGCACTTGGACATAAACTTTATTGCAGTGTGGCAATCACCACAGATGCGCAAGTTCTTCATAACTCTAATTGGACGTTCCGGTGGAAAGGTAATAAGTGCAAATGCAATGGCTAATCTCTCACTATGATATCGAATACTCTGGATCTTCTCATCAGCGCCAACTTCTTGCAGCACGTAACTCGTGTCTGCAACATAACCAACTCGCATCATATCCTCCCCCAGTTCCTCCAGTTTCCTATAAATCTCTTCAGATTTCGCATTGGCCCTATCCCCTGCAACAAATGTGTAAATCCTATTACCTTCCTCTACCCAGCTCAAACCAGTTTCCTTTTTCATTCCACAGTCCCTCAGCATTTTCCTTGCCGTTGCAGCCTCTTTATATCTACCAGCAGCTGAATAAGCATTGGATAATAGCACGTGTAGGCCAGGGCTAATAGGGCCTAACTCAAAGACTCTATCAGCTACGTAACCTGCCAACTCAGTGTTTCCATGAATTCGGCACCCAGTAAGTAAAGCTCCCCACACAGATTCTGTTGGTTGCATTGGCATTTCTTTAGTAATTTTAACAGCTTCGTGCAATTTTCCAGCTCGGCCAAGCAAGTCAACCATTGAAGCATAATGCTGATCCCCTGGCTCTATACCTTGATCCTTCATCAACTTGAAGTAATACTTCCCCTCCTCAACCAGCCCTGCGTGGCTACAAGCATAGAGCAGACACAAAAATGTAATGAAATTCGGCTTCGTTCCTACTCTTTCCATTTTCCCAAACAACGCAAACACGTTCTTTGTATGTGAATGTTGAGCACATGCGATCAACATTGCATTCCACATTCCTAAATTCTTATTCGAAACCTCATCAAAAACAAGATATGCTCCCTCAATGACACCACACTTTGAGTACATGGAAATTAAAGAACTTCCCACAAAACCTGACAAGTCATAGCTCATTTTCAAGCACAAACCATGCATCTGCTTCCCTAGTTCAAGCAAGGTCGAATTCCCACAAACTCGAATCACACTCGAAAAAGTAAAATCGTTCACACCCAAATCCTCAATCAAAGCGTCCTTAAAAAGCCTCAAAGCCTCCTCGTCTTCACCCATTTGCGCATACCCATATATCATCCCACTCCAAGACACCACATTTTTCTCCGGAATTTCATCAAACATCTTCCTAGAATCCACTAAACTACCACATTTTGCATACATATCCACTACAGAACTCCCAACAAACACATTAAAGTCATACCCAACTTTCACCGTAAGACAATGAACCGACTGCCCTGCACGATAATCATTCATCATCGCGCACGATTTAGTCACACTGGGGAAAATGTGGTCATCAGGATACAATCCACCAATACGAAGCATTAAGCAAAGATATTGAAAAGCTCGCAAAGGGAGCTCATTTTGCGAAAAACAAGAGATTAAAGAACTCCAAGTCGTAGCAGACTTGAAGGGAGTCTCATCAAACAATTTTTCCGAGTGGTGCGGGAACTGTAATTTCGCGTAAAAGTTGATCAAATGGTGGGATATCAGTGGGATGATCTGAAGTCCAGATTTAATGACATGGGCATGAATAGATTGACCTTTTAAAAGGGATTTTGCCCTAGTGAAGTCAAGCAAATGGTTGCATATGGTTCGGTAGTTGTGCTCGAAGCTTTGTTGGTTGAGTGAGTTTTGGAGGAAGTGGGTGAAGATGGGATGTCTTGGGGGTGGAGGTGGTTGCAGGGGTTCTTTGAGGAAAGGGTGAAGCATTTAGTGAATATCTTAAAGAGACGTGTGTTCTGGATGCATGACGGCGGCGGGCGGTTTCGGAGTAGGAGTATCAGTTCTCTGCCCCAGGATGCGGTGGTGGCCGAAAATTGGGTTTTCAATTAGAACGTAGACAAGAATTGGCGGACAAAAATTTGGGTTGAGAATCGGTTATTCTTATTGTGAACCGGCCGGTTCATCCCCCATCCCACCTCACAATTTTATATATATATATTTTTTTAAATATAAATGAAGTCGATTCCAAATTTTTTGACCGAATCAGCCATTTTAATAGATTTTGACAATCTTGGACAGACATTTCCCAAAGTTTGTTGCACAAGAGCAAACAAAGTTTTCGAGGTTTCTAAATTATTACAAATTTACATACGTCAATGTTTTTCTTAACATTTCTCTCGAATCTTTATTTGCATCATTTTCAACAATTTTCATTCAAAGTAGACACAGCTTGTCTTCAAGAATAAGTGCTAGTGGGGAATGATTTTTCAAAAAATAATTCTTTACAAGAAAAATGATTCTTAACCTATCATCCAGTGTACAAATTGTTGCAGAAGTTTCTTATATGCTCCCAAGTTTTATGAACCGCATGTTTGGCGCTCGAGTTTCCATGCCTCAAGGCAGATTTCTCTTTACTTTTAGATCGAAGAGTCCTAATAATTGGTTTACATGTATGCTTATAGGTAGATAGTTAGACAATACTTGCACATAATTATATCATTAGTGCACTCTTCAATGATATAAATAATATATCTAGCTGTTGACGATCTTGTCGCATCTTATAGAAAGGGGAGTATGCTCAGAGCATGACACCAAATTACATTATTTGGTGCGCAATTGATGTATTTTTTATTTATATAAGAGACATTGATGTATTTATTTTAATTAGGAAAACTAGCAACTAGGTCCCTAACTTTTGAAAAAGTACAAATGGGTCCCAGACATTTTTAATAAAAGAACTTAAAATTTTAAGGTTAGCCAACGCTTTGTATTATCGTATAGAAGAGCCGATTCTTTGAGAAACCACCAGAACAAATCGGTCGCTCAGAACAACTTACCAATCGAATAGAAGAACAGATTCTTTATGAAAACACGAGAATAAATCGGTCGTTTCTCTCTGTATATTCTTCTCTTCTGCCCCTCTACGGGAATTCATCAGTCGGACCAATCAATCACTAATGGAAGAAGAAGAAGATGTGCAGCTACCAATCGGGAGACCCTCTCAGTATCCATACACACCCTCAATATCAGAGCAAGGCTCAGGTTTGGGCCCCGTCCCGGGTCCCATGGTATCCGCAACCTTGGGTCGGGTCATGACCGCTCTCCTCAACGCTAAGCCAAAAAAACTCCAAGACTCCATTTCCCGTCTCCACTCTCCTCCCAAAATTGCCGCCTCAGTTACTGGTATACATGTACATTGTCATGTCTTCAATTTAACGCGGACCAACCTTGTTAAGTAGCTCAAGTACTTGTATAAGTTAATTACTGTTTTTACCGATAAACTGTCAAGAATTGGAATTCCATCTCAAAAGGAGGAGTCCAAATACTTATAAATTGGTCCTTGTTTTCGTCTTGAGATCCGAGTCTTGATTGGGTTGAATTGCTCGTTTGAGCTTTGAAACCATGTTAAGACTCGTGGCTTCGTCTTCCAAAAAATCACAAGGACTTTCCATCTTGAAACGATTGTGGATTCTATCCCTTAACGTGAATAGCATTGAATTTTACCCTTTTAACAGTACATTTTTATTTTTGATAAGGTAAATTGGGAAAAAAATTATTCCTTTTAATTATGTTCGATTTATTTATTTATTTATTTTTTTAACAGCTTCATTAGAAGATTCGCTGTGGTTTCTTCACAAGTACATAGGTGATGCTGGGAAGAAAAATGAGGCATTGGACCAAGTCCTCATTCCCATGATTGAACATGTAACTAATTTTTCAATTCCCATATTCCTAATTTTACATGTAATTCTGCACATATTTGGATAAATTATTTATTTTAACGGGTGAATTTAAAATTCAAAAAAATAAAATAAAAATCAGCTTAAATTTTTTAAAATTAGCTCATATGTTCTTAAAGCTTTTTAATTGGCAAAATATACTCAATTTAGTACATTGCACTTGCTTAAGAATAGAGCACTTCTCTACCAAATTATTCAAACCATTTACTATCAGTAAGCAGTATGAGTGCGTTTGGATTACAAGTACTGATTAGTTGAACATTAATACCTTTTTCTGTCAGTTGTTGAGAGCAAGAGACTTGAAGCACGGAAATCAGGCTATGGTACTTCTGAACTGGCTGTTTCAGGATGACATATTATTCCAATATACTGTAGGAAATTTAGCAGGAATTATAATGAGAAGGGATGATCGTTATGTTGCCCTTGGATGGTGTATTCTTGGACGCAGTCTTATAGAGTACGAGAATGCTGTGAAAAATATTGCGACTGATGGTAACATTTCCATTTACTTTAAATCAACTTATGTCAAAATGTGATATTTTTGGCACCTTCAGTGCAGCTCCTATATTATGCTACTATCTTCAATTTTTTCGTGGCTAGTGGGGGCGATTTGGGGCTGTTAGCTCTGTTGGCCTGTTCATCTTCTCCTAATTAGTAAACTAACCAGGCTTTGTCAAGTTAGTAATATTTTTCTTCTTTTTTCATTTTTGTAGGAATAAAGAAGAAGTATATAGCAATGTTGAAGATGTTCTGTTCATGTGTTACCCATCTATTATCAATAACTTGCAATGGAAGGTATCTATCCTCTTATTAGTACTATCAAATAACTTGAAGTTTACTTCCGCTTGTCCTTTAATTTTTCACTTGATGAGCTTTTACTTAGCTACCTTTTCTTGACTACAACTGGTTGAAGCAACTCTCTCCTTATTCTACTGATTGAAATTGTATAATATATAATTCCCAATTTAAACATATGCTGTAGCAATTGGTTAAGGCTTTTGTTTCAGGACTTCAATGATGAGTTGATTTTTTGTATCATTTCTCTGCGGAATTGTTATAGGAACCTGTACTTTAAATAAATCTCCTCTCTTCTAGCTTTTATTTATGAAATCCCTAGGTAAGACTGTTCAAAGGGTAACTTTACTCCTCATTATAGGGCTAACTAATGGAAAAAATCAGTTAGCTGCACCTCAGATGAATAGCCTTCCTTCGAACATTATTGTATTGTATATGCAAATAGCATTGCCTTCATATTTCAATCATGATAGCTGTGTTTACATGCATCTGGATGAATATTATTGTTAAGTCGATGCAGTTATGATGCGGATGATATTTATAACAAGCTATTTTTTTCTTTAGATATAGTGCTATGAGACAATGCTAAGTTGATTTGCATCGATGATCCCGGAGGCAGATGATTGGCATGATTTTATGTGCATGATTCAAAGCGTGTAACCTTTTTAATCTTTTGACCCGGTGTTTGATCAATGATATTGCAGCAATTTGCAGGAGGGATTTGAGTTGCCAACTCGCCTTTCAGTTGCTGCTGCTGATTTCATATTATCTCTTACGGTAGCATTAACCGGAAAGGATATGGTGTCCAGTTCTTCAGATATCAGTAAAAAATCATCCGTTCTTAATGCAAAAAATAGACCTATTGCTTCATTATCAGTTGATACCAGTGACAGAGAAGCAAAGACTTTGAGCAAAGCATCTGAATTGCAGAGCAGCTTGGAAATGAAATTGTTGCTTTGGGATCATCTGGATCAACTCATGATTCTTGTGCAGAGACTTACAGCTGTATGTTCTTCACCTGGTATTCATAAACTAGATCTTCATGCAGATTATGTTTGCCTTTGTCCCTGTGTTGATTGCTGAGGTTTTCGATGTATTGTTTTTTCTATTGCTGCTTGACTGGGTTATCTTGCTAAACTTTTAGTCTTGCATTATATTTTAGAATTTGATTACGTTGAGCTAATTCGATTCAGAATCTATATAATATGTCATAACTTGATTTTAATATTTTTTATTTTACTTCTTTATAGTCTTGTTTGGCAACTTGTTGCAAAGCTACAATGATATTTACTCACTAGATCTTTTCCTTCATTTTAAAATATACAGTGGAACAGAAAAAGTCAGCCTTTGCACGCTCGAGGATTAGAGAAAGTATTTAAGTGGTTGCTGGAAACCAAAAAGCATTATGATTGTTTTCAAAATAGAGCAGGTGTAATTGATATTGAACGTTGCAAACCTTTTGTAATGACATTGTGTATGATTTTGTTTGACCCAACCTCAGTTCTTATGTATTTTATTGTACCATGTTAAAGGACAGACTTGGAGATGGTGAAGACTGGAGCATTGCTTCTCTCTTCTTGTTGGAAACATTATGGTGTGCTCTCACACTTGGAAGATAACAACTCTGCTCATCAATATAAAGAACTTTTGGACCAATACCTGTCTGGGATTCAGGTATGAATTATTACTTTTGATATGGCATTTTCATCTGGTGTGATTGTTGAGAGAACAAGGATCTATAACTCCCCCTCCCCCGCGCGCACGCGTGTTGCCTCTGGTTTTGGGGGTCGCATTCATTAACTAAGTAACAAATCAGAAAGCCCCCAAATCTACATGAATGTGATGGACTACAGTTTATTTGGTGAAATGTCATTTAGTGTTTCACACAATAATCTAAATCCTTAACTGTATAGATTATGAGCTCGTGTTAAAAAAAGGAATGCGAGACCTCATGGTCTCAATTTTTGGCCCATTTTCTGTTTGTTTTAAATTTAGAAGTAAAGTGAAACATAGATTGTAGATATGTGAAGGCATGTGCGTATGTTTATGTTCTTTCCACCCTGTTGTTCTTATATGTTTATTGATTTAGTTTAAATCCTGATGAAGAACATTTGCAGTTCTATGCAGATAATCATGCTGAAGAATCTAGTTCGAATAAGGACAGCGGAGTAGAGATCATAAAGTTCTTCCTAAATTGTCTTTCCCTTTTATTGGGCCGTTTAGATGACAAGAAATTTAGAACTGCAATGACTGATTTTGGATCTCAGATATCTCAGGTTCTCATGTCTCAGGTAGCATTGTGCATTTCTTTATTTGGGCACTTGTATAGTTTTACTTTTTCTTCTTTCGAAGGCTTTGGTAAAAGCTTTCCTATTTAGGTGGATATCTAGTTTAGATATGGTAGGCTTATTTTTTTTCCCTTTAGCTTCTGAGGGGAGGGAATGTTGCATTTGTCTCTCTGTCGGAGGTTCGAGATGGAAGGGCATTCTGCCCCTGCCGGGGGTGATAGGGTAACGGCGCAAAGAGCAATCAATCCTGTGAAAACCACATCTTTGACTAATATAAACGGGCTTCTGAGACGATTCTTTGCTTGAAAGTCTGGACAGTTTTCCTTTCATGAATGGATGAAACCCTTCTGGCAAGGCTTTGGGATCAAACCAATTCAAATTGAATCGAAAAATTCAACTTTTCAGAGTGGACAATCTTAGTCCATAAACGTATAGGTCCCATTAGACAGCAATTAGGACTTTCTTTTAGCTGCCAAACCAAACAAAATGCTGGCAATGCTTGGCCCGAGATTGGATTTGGATGAACTAATGCGAATAACTTTAAGTCTTTCAACACTTACTAGACTTTGCTTTCGAGCTGGAGCTCCTCTTTCCAAAGAAGAGTGCATGCCTGAGCTATCTTAAAGTAAAGTTCCGCCACTGCTTTTAAATGAAAATCATTTATTAAAAGTGACTCTGAGAAATGCTGCATTTGATTAATGCAGTTAGTCAATCTCATCCTCCAAGGACAAGTAAATCTGCAAAATAGTAAAAAACTTGCAATATTTATTTGGTTTTGGCTGTACTATTATATTCTGATAGTTTTGTGGGTGATATATTCTAGACTGGTCTGATGTTAGAATATGATTTTTGATGAGTTTCCAAGTTGACCTTAAAAAAAATAAAAAATAAAAATAAAAATAAAAATCTAAAACCTGTAAAAGCCCTCTTTTTCCATGTGACTAGGAAATCTACTTTTCAGCTTGTTAAAATTAGTTTGGGCAAAGTTAATGATGTGAAACTTTCCAGTATAAATTGCTCCATGGACTTTCCCATCTGTAATGTCAGTCAATCTTTAGTAGTCATTCTCGTTGGGAATACTGGGCCAATGCAGGCCATGTCTATGGGATAGAGTAATTTGTGATTCTACAAGCTTTTATTATTGTCATTACAGCAATTATCTGTGTTCAGCACTAAAGAATGTTTTATTATAGCTAAGCTGTGCCGACGAGGAAGTAATCGATGGTGCAATTTGCATATTCAAAGCAGTCTTGTTTAGGACGAACCTGTCTAAAAGTAATCTTGAAGACAATAGACAAATAGAAGCCATTCTACCTTCACTCCTACATCTTTTGGATGAGAGAGATGCGGCAGCGAAAGCAGTTGTAAATCTTATTGCAGAATATTGTTCTATGTATGTTTATTATTCACTTGCTAGGTTTGTTTTGTTGGATGCCATCTTTATTCCAAATGTGATGCAATTATTGACTTTGACAGATGCCCAGATGGTTGGTGCCTGCAAGAAGTACTAAAGCGCATTGATTCTGAAAATGTTGCACAGAGGATGAATGCTGTTGATGTTATTTCAGATCTCATTCACATATCATCTGGGTCTGTTAATGTGCTCTCACAAGAAATGTGGTATGTGTAACTGATTTCTGTTGATACAAGGTTTTATGGTACTTCCATGTCCTTTTTGTGTTTCAGATTCTTATTGTCAAATTACATTTAAATGAATTTGCAGGCAAGATATTGCAAACCACTTGTTAGGATGCCTCAGAAATGAAAATTGTGCTATTCAAAATCAGGCGTCCAATTTGATTCCCATTATTGGTCAGTCTGAACACTGAGTCTCTAGTCCATGTCTTTTTGGGTGATGTATAACTTGTTTTGGATAAAAGAGTGCATTAAAAGTCTCTTGATTATAGGCAGGATATTTCAGAAAAGAAAATAATTATCTTTTGTATTTTGATATAGCTTTGCATGTGAGGTTGCATCATGTATATTTCTTTACTTTTATAGCGTTTAGGTTCACCTCTCCATGGAATGCATAATCATATTCTCCACCCCCAACACACACACATTCCTATATGCCCTACAGTTCTTCAAGCAACAGATTGAAGCAGAAAATAAACGCTTCTTTTTGCATTTTTCTAGTCTCAGTTGTGTGAAATGGCCTTGTCTTTGTGCCTGTTGTGGATTAAAACCTTCAAAATTGAACTGTTTTACTGATATCATTGACTTTGTTTTTGTTCTTGCAGACCCTGCATTAGTATTGTCCGCACTAGTTGGTCTATTTTTCTCTGCACAAGGGAAACTGCAGCTATCTGCGAGTAGTACTCTCATGGCCTTGCTTATTAATCATAGACAAAAACCTGAAGTTGTGTGCATGCTGCTCGACTGTCTTAGGTACCTTGATATAATAATTAATTTTTTCATATCTTATTCCTAGGAAATGATGTTCACACAATACAGTGTATAGTTTGTAGTATAATCCTTCTGTGGATCATGGAGTATTTGAAAGGATAAAAGCGGAACTTTTCTTCACATTTACTTATAAGAGGTGTTTGCCCTCACTGAACATTTACAAATTTTACTGTTGTCTTCTGCAGCAATCTCTGCCTGAACCCAGATCCTGCAGTTTCTTCTTCCGGTAATGAAGACGGTATGCACAAAACATCTTATTCCTCGCCCAACCCTGGTTAGAATTTTGCTCTAATAATCAGTTGAATTTAAAGTGTCGTCCAAGCCACTTTGTACCCCCCACAACCAAACAACTACTAAAGTAGAAGAATCCAGTAACCCCTTTAATTTAGTGTGCTCTTGTTTCTGTATAGGGTCAAAGGTCGATGCTGATAGGCTGCTGAAGCTGCTGCCAGAATGGGCAAAAACGGTAAGTTAGATTGTACTCTAATTTACTGGTCTCTGTCTATACTTCTAGCTTTATTGTGGTATAATATCTATTAATTACTCAGTATTATCAATTTCATTTTCCTCTCATGCTCCTGCTCTTCTTCCTTCCAAAGCTTATTCATCTTTTGCTCAGGGGGTTACATCACCGTGAAAAAGTGGAGTCTGCCATCTTTAGCCTGTGTTTGGTGCTTACACTTTTCATAAGTTCTGCCATCTTAGAACCCATCGTCCGCCTTTACTGCCTCCTTTGCGCTGAATTCCTTTTGAAGCACTAGAGTTAACTACTATAATTTTGTGAAAATTTCAGGTTGAAGATTGGGATGTAATGGTTGGCCCCTTGATAGACAAGATGATATCTGAACCATCGAATGCTATTACTGTGAAGTTTCTGAGTTATATAAGTGATTATTTGGCTGAAGCTTCAAATTTGGTCTTTCATCGAATTATCTTGCATACAAGAGGGGAGAAAATGTGAGTATTTCTTTTTGACCCTTTTTTCATTTTCACTGTGCTCATGAATATTTTCTCCGTGTTTGTCCTCACTACTAATTGAAGTAGGGTACTAAAAATTCACCACAGTTGTCCTTTGCCTGGTATATGAAAAATGAAGATGCTTTTAAGTGAATCTGAAGAGCACAATTGATGTAGAATCAATTGAGAATTTCAGAACTTATAACATTAGAAGACAAGCGAGTTGAAATAACATGCTGGAGAAGTAGAATAGATGCAGCAGAAAAAAGAGACAATCGGAGAAGAAGAAGAAAGGGGGAGAAAACCGAGAGGAGGGAGGAGAGGAGGAAAACGTCGGTAGCAAACCACAATTCAATTCATCAATTCATCGTCTCCTTTAATTATAACTGAAAACCATATAAATAGTAGAATAAAACCTAACATTCATGGGCTTGGACTAGACCCGCTAGACAAGTCCAATAAAGTGAACGAGACATAATTAAATAACATGAAATAAATAGGCCGAGATGTCCGCATCAACTCTCCCGGGATGGGAGAAAAACTCGACTCTGTCGAGTGGTCAAATCAACTAAGGCTGCAGTCGATCTGATACCAAAAATGCTTCAAGACATTCCATGGAGGACGATCTTTCCGACGAATCAAATATCGGAACTCCACAAATGATGACAACGCCAGTTGTAGATTATCCGCAAAAATATGAGCTGACCAAGATAACCTAGGCGAATGAGGATTTTGTTGACTCTTATAAAGCTCCAAAGAATCTGGCTCGCGTTGTTGAAGTCTCTTAGGGAATCCATGTATCATCAGAATCAAGTCGATCCATCCAATGAACAAGAAAGCACTGAATCTCTCTATCATTGGTCAACACAATTTGTTCATCTAAAATAACATCAATTTTATTTTTGTGTGCTGTGATAGGTGGGAATGAAGCAGACATGGCAAAAGATTCAGTGTGAGAATTCTCATTTGAAAGTAGAAATGGGTCAGCAGAGGGGCTAAAATAGCCTTTGTAAGCATCGAAGTTCGTAACAAATAAAATAGGGTGGTGGTCATAATGTGATAAAAGGTCATTGATATATGCATTTGGACCAACATGCTTTGAAATTTTAAAATGACCAGTATTACAGGCTTGCAATATAACATATTTTCCAATATTAAATTCAAAACGTTGTTTATGCCAATCAGCTTGAGGTTTATATAATGTTTTACTTGCTTCAAATTATTTATTGATCTCAATATGGAAGCTATGAAAATGTGATGCAACTACCTCAACTGACATAGACACACAAACATGTGGGTGCATGGGAATAAGGTTTAAAGGTTTCCTAGATTCACAACCATGGATGACTTCAAAGGGATTTAGACCTAAAGACCACTTCACAGGATTGTTATATGCAACTTGAACGGTTGGTGGGACCAAGTCCCAATTCCCAAGATTTTTCCGGACTAGAGACTGTAATAAATTGCCAAGATTTTGGTTAGCAATTTCGTTTTGACCATCAGTTTGAGGTTGGTCAGTTGTGGAGAATTTTGATTTAGTGCTAACCACAGGCAACTGGATTCTCCAAGGGTGACTAGTGACATCATCAAGCTCTTTAACTTGAGTAAGGGTATGACATATAACATGTGATCGAGAACTGTCGAAGATAAGGGATATAGTATCTAAAATCTTGGGAAGAGTCTGGATTTCACCTAAGGAAGTGTCCTCACTATCATCCAAGTCATCAAAATCTTCAAGTTTAGGTTCATAAATTAGATCTTCTAACGGCTCATCCATTACATTCTTTCGTTCTTCCATGACTAAGGTTCGATTAGGACATTTGGAAGAAATGTGACCAAAGTCCTTACAGTTGACGCACTGCAAGTGAGAAGAAGACCTTGGAGTTTCAGAAATTCTACCCTTATTTTCCAAGATTGGAGAACCATTAGAAGGGGGAGGTCCTAGAAGGGACTTAACGGGAGGAAGTGGAGCCAATGAAACCAAATGATGATTGTCAATACGCTTTCTTCATGGAGAAGAAGGTCTTGGACTATCACGACCTTTACAATTATTTTTCCAAATGGGAGGAACATTAGACAGAGAAGGCTTTATGATAGACTTATGATGAGGCGATGCTAATGAGATGGGTGAATGACGATGACCACGCTTTTCATATGGAGTACTAATAATCAACTCATAATCTCAAGCTAAAGAGTAATCATGATTAAGAGTAGTGACACCTAGAAGGAAAAGCTCATGCCTAAGGTCATCTCTCAGACCTTAGCTAAACCTACTCAAAGTTGTGGTCTCATCCTCAATTAAATAACATTTGGATCGAAATTTCTCAAATTGTGCGATATACTCAGTCACTAGTTGATTTCCTTGTTTAAGGGCATTCCATTAGTAAAAATTTCAAAATTATCTCGTTCTTGCTCACAAATCTGATCCTTACTCCTACGATCATGTCTAAAGCATTTTTGATCACCATGTTGATGATGATTATGGGACACTTTTAGATTTATAGACGTTGGTTGAACTAGGGGTTTGTTTAAAGTTGTTCAAATTAGCAGATAGAGCCTTACTCTCTTCAAGAATAGCAATCATTTGAGTTTGGGTAGCAGCTATTTGTCGAATAAGTGCATCAAATTGTGAGGGGTCCATGTTTAAGGTACTGGAATTAGAAGTGATAGGATGACCACTATGCAACTATATGCACTGTAATAGCAACTAAATGATGTGCAATAGAGAGATCAATGAACAAAAAGTGCAAGCAATGAAAAATGAAAATTTGAGCCCCCCCTTTTTTTAAAAAAATTTTAAATTTTGGGATTAAAATCCAAATATAACAAGCTAATACTGCTGATATATGTAAAATAGCAAAGCCAAGGTCAAATACAAGTCAAACCCTAATCACGTAAAATAAACAAGGTAAAAGTGAGATTTAACGAGGTTAATGGATCCAATTACGTGAATTTAGGTAAAAACTAGATCAGCAGCAGCACAAAAATTTAATTGATACGATTTTAAACAAAACAACAATATAAACCAATAATAAATAAAAACAGTAACTTCCCTTTCGTTCGTTGAAGTAGCCGTGTCAAATTAACAGGAATAAAAAGAGGTACTTGCAACTAACAGAAAATACGGTTTTTTTTTTCTTTTCACACATGAAACAAACCCAATATTTGCAGCCTTATCTGTAGAAAAAGGCAGCGGCGGCGATTGGTGGACTTTGGTTGCTGACGAGAGAGAACGGTTGGCGTTTGCACTGGTTCGCGTCGCAGTGGTTCGAAATCTGGGAAAACGGTGGACCGATTTAGGGTCGTCGACGCTCAGGGAGATGGAAAGGTGGTGACCGAACAAGGTGGGTGTGTTGTGTGGATTTCTTTTGATTTTATGGAGTCGGTTGCAGAATCTAATGGGTGGTGTTCGTGATTTGGGAGAAGGTACTGGCCGTCACAGTTGCTGTCGTCAATGGTGGGTATGCTGTTCTTGTTGGCGGTTGATTTGTTTCGGGCTGGATACAGAAGCAGTTGCTGTAACATGAAGTTGGAGAGTGGGTGATTGGGTCAGTTTGTGAGACACTGGTGGCAGTTTTGCGGTGGGATATGGTGGTCGTGTTTGTTGGAATTATTTGGCGGTGGCTGTAGTGGTGGAGGAAGTTCCAAGTGTTGAGTGAATTTCGGGTGGTTGGCGGTTGTGGAAGGGCGTGGTGGTTTCTCTGGCAGCACTGGTTAACCGAAAAAGGGAGTTGCAGCAGCAAGTAATGGATATACTGTTGTATGTATGGATTGGGCCTGTTTCTAGATGGTGGCAGCGTTGTTGGCGGAGAGTAAATTGACTGGATTTTCAACAGTGGGTGAAGGAAGTCAGGTTTAGCTCTAATACCAAGTTGATGTAGAATCAATTGAGAATTTCAGAACTTATAACATTAGAAGACAAGCGAGTTGAAATAACATGCAGGAGAAGCAGAATAGATGCAGCAGAAAAGAGACAACCGGAGAAGAAGAAGAAGAAGAAAGGGGGAGAAAACCGAGAGGAGGGAGGGGAGTGGTTAACCGAAAAAGGGAGTTGCAGCAGCAAGTAATGGATATACTGTTGTATGTATGGATTGGGCCTGTTTCTAGATGGTGGCAGCGTTGTTGGCGGAGAGTAAATTGACTGGATTTTCAACAGTGGGTGAAGGAAGTCAGGTTTAGCTCTAATACCAAGTTGATGTAGAATTAATTGAGAATTTCAGAACTTATAACATTAGAAGACAAGCGAGTTGAAATAACATGCAGGAGAAGCAGAATAGATGCAGCAGAAAAGAGACAACCGGAGAAGAAGAAGAAGAAGAAGAAAGGGGGAGAAAACCGAGAGGAGGGAGGGGAGGAGAGGAGAGGAGGAAAACGTTGGTAGCAAACCACAATTCAATTCATCAATTCATAGTCTCCTTTAATTACAACTGAAAACTATATAAATAGTAGAATAAAACCTAACATTCATGGGCTTGGACTAGACCCGCTAACATTCATGGGCTTAGACTAGACCCGCTAGACAAGTCCAATATAGTGAACAAGACACAATTAAATAACATGAAATAAATAAGCCGAGATGGACCGAGATGTCCGCATCAACAATGTATTAGACTAGTATTTCATACTTGTTCACTAGATGACAAGTAGCAGTCTTACTTTCGTCTTGAAAGTCTAAGCTCTTTTTGCCTATTCTGTTTTGGTCTCAAAAGACAAGGTAGACTATATCTTATAATTAACAAGATCTCCATGTTTGGGATAAAACTTTTACAGTGTTGACCAGTCAATTACTTTGGTGGATCATATTTTTGAACGTGGTTCTTACTGCTATGTATTGAATTTCTTTTGCTGCTTTGATTCAGTACATATCAAATTTTGTTATCATACTATATAGTTGCTTGTAAAGAAAGTTTTCATAAGGGTAAAATAATTTATGCATGATTTTTTATTTTTGTTGTAATTTGAGCAGAGTCGATGAGAGCTTTTCCAAATGGCAAGGCAAGGAAGATGCAAGTAATGACACCATGAAATGGGAACATTCTCTCTTTAGTCACCTTTGCCCACTTCTGATAATCAGACTGCTCCCTCTGCATTTAAATTCAATTATGATTCTTTATCAAATTCATTGATGAAGGTTAAGAAATTAACGATTTTGGTTTTTATCAACATGATCTATTTTCAACTTAAATTTTTAGTTCATTAGACTCCCTATTCGATTTTGTATAATTTACCGTACCACACATAAACTTTTCGTGAGGAAAAATAAAATAAAAGCAAAAGGTTAAATACTAATCGGTCTCATTATGAACATATATATTACGCATCCATTAACAAGAAAGTTCCACTATAATTTTTTTGGTTATGCTGCCTATTCAGGCACAGGGCTGTACAGGCCACACACATTATAGGGGGTGGTTAATTTATTTTTTTTAAATAATCATCTCATCCACCCCCCCCCCCCCCCCCCCCCCCACACACACACACACACACACATGCAAATTGGGTCTCGGGGGAAGCCTAAAACCCCACTTAGGCTTTGATGGTGTCTCGGGAAAAAACAGAGATTTGAGTTGAGCTCCACAGTTAAACACTTCTATGATACCACGGTGTTATAACTTAATGTTTGATCTAAAATGGAAATGTAGAAATTTGTTGACTAATTACTGCTAAGCCTTTTGATTTGTTAGAATTTATACTAAAATGACTACCCTTCAAATGAATGTTGCTTGCAGAGAAAGGATATTTCAGCTTTGAGGGTACTGAGTGTGTTGTTGACCTTCTGATAAACAGGTTCGCCTGATAATTGAACACTTACAGTATCACTCCTTGGAAAAAGGAAATTGATTTCTGTATATTGATGTCTTCTTCAGGGCCTTGAGTAAGTCTGAATTTGAAGATGTTCGGAAACTCGCAGCTGAGCTATGTGGGCGAATTCATCCCAATGTATGCAACAACTTGATTTAGAGATTATGCTGCTTTTCCAATTTCCATATTTACTAGGAGGATTTTTGGTTCACATTCTAACATTATCGTTGAAACGTGATAATGTCCTTCAGTATTACGTTTCAAGTGTATTTTTCTCGTTCCTTTACATGGGCTCCATAATTTTTTTCATGGTTTGTGCCTATGATCCTCAAGTCAAATTAATGATCTTGATTACCCTGCCTTGTCATTTGCAGGTTCTAATTCCAATGATGTCCTCTCAATTGGAATATGCTGCAAATGCTAAGGATATAATAATGATAAAAACTTGTCTATTTTCGGTTTGTACATCTCTAATGGTGAGTTTTCCAGTTCCCATGAGCATTCGTTTTATTTAAGATGATAATCTTAAGAAACTGTTCTTGACATCTACTACTTTCCCGTTTCTCTCTCCTTTTTGTGATGTAGGTCAGAGGCATTAATGTGTATAAGCACCCTGATTTGTTCCGAATAAGAAAAACAATTCAGAATATTCTATCATGGTCATCAGTGGACGGAGATGAAAGTGAGTAAATATTTTTTTTTGTGCTGCTGAATCTCTTATTAATTCTGCCATCTTGAAAACCTTATATTTCTGCTTCAGTTTCCAAAGCACAACATGGGTGCATTGATTGTCTGGCCTTGATGCTATGCACCGACTTGCAAGCTCCAAAGTCACTGGGAGTCTCAAACTCGGAAGACACTTGCCATGTTGGAAATGGCAATAACTCTGTTGGTATAGTTTTAACTTCATGCAAGTACTTTGAGCATGTTTGCTAAGCAAAAAATGTTTACATATAAGTTTCAAAATAAATCATTTTTCTATTGGTCAAAATTGGAAATATGTCTACTTTTTTAACTACAAATATTTACTTTTAAAACAACTAACTTTTTTTTAACTTTGAATTATTAAAAGAGTAAATTATCCGAAAATGTTTGGAATCAAAAGTAACTTTTCCTTCAATAAGCTTAACCCAAACATGCTCTTATACTTCAAGCTGAACCTCATGGAACCTGTGGCACGACTGCAGGTGATGCAGCCGTCAAAGATTCTGTACTGACATATGTGATCCATCAATTAACAAATGAGGAGGAGGATTTCTCGTTCAAGTCTGATAAACACGATTATATATCTAAGACAACAGTCCACCTCTCTTTTCGCCTATGCATGGCTAATGTACTCATTAGTGCCTGTCAAAAGATATCGGGGGCTGGAAAGAAATCTTTTGTTCGGAAAGTTCTTCCTCGTGTTATTCATTCTGCTAGGGTACGATAATATCTGAATATCTGTATTTAGATTCCAATATACGTATATAACTGAATATTAAGAACTCGGGGAAAGACCAATGTGCTTTTTCCTGTTTCACCGACCTGTCTGTTGTTAGCAGGTAATGGTGGAGCCCGAGATTAGGGTTGCATGCATCCAGATTCTTTTCACAGCAGTATACCATTTGAAGTCTTTGGTTTCTCCATATTCATCTGATCTCCTCAGCATTGCTTTGAAATCACTTGGAGAAGGATCACACAAGGTACTTTTGGAAAAGATGTGATTGTAGTAGTCTGGTTCAAATTTTTTCACATGTTAGATTCTCCATGTCTTGAACTGCCCTATTTAGTTAACTACATTGACGAGCTCGTCTACTTATTTTCTCAACTCTTTTCAAGTTTTTTGTCAACTCTTGAAACCTCTTAAATTGAGAGTTCAAGAACACGTCTTGTACGCTAGGCCAGGTGTTTGCTATGAATCTAAGGAAATACTGATTTCACTTTTCTTTCACTTTCTGATGTTTCGTCGCTTAAGATGGAAACCTCAATTTCTGTCTGCCAGAATTCCTCGTGGTTTTTTGTTCACGGAGTGGTTTTTTTTGTTGACAGGAAAAAATGGCGGGTGCCAAGATTCTGGCATCTCTAATGGCGAGTGACGAAGAGATTGTGGAAAGTATATCTGAGGGGCTACTCGAAGCAAGAACGTTGCTTCGAAGTCTATCGGTATGCGATCCTTCGACGGATGTTAGGCAAATCTGCCAGCAACTTCTTGTGTGTTTAACTTCTACTTAAACTTATTTTGTGCACAATTTTCATATGTAGTCACTTCCACATTACTGCATAATTGTGCTGTGTTAATGTACATATTTTGGCATGCGCAAGTGTGAAAGCATTAGTCGAATAGTAGCTCGTTTCTTTGTTATTATTTTGGGTGTGTCGCGTCATCTTTGCACAAGGGCCATGCAAATCTTCGCCATATCGTTTCGATTTTATCCGGTGGCCCAGATAAAGACAATAAAAGTTTGACTTCATAGTTATGGAGATATTATTATTATTATTATTATTTTTTTTTTTTTTAGATCAACTAAAAAAATATGAATTGAACAAGCTGCAGGGGATGGGATGGATGGGTGCGTGCGTGCGTGGTGGAAGATATGGTGTTCTTTTTTCTTTTTCTTTTTTATTTTTTTGCCTATTTGAATTTGGAGGCAACATTTTCTTTTTGTCCTATTTGATGATTTTTTGGATTGAAATTTTGAGGAATTACGAAACGGCACCATTAATTTTTATTTGTTACACATTTTAATTGCAGTTTAGCTCAAATTTTCCTCGTTCTAGCAAATTTTTTTTTTTTTTTTCTTTGAATTCTTTCCTTCAACTTTTCATTAATTAGTATGTCTCGTTTTTTATGATTTATGTCAAATATTTTGTTTACATGCTATGAAATGAGGGAAAATATTTATTTGTATTTTTTATTTATTTATTTTTGAAAAGTATAATGAGAAAATAAGTTGTTATATGTTATTTTGACAAACTTGTTGAAAATAAGTTGTTATAAAAAATAATGTGTAACTAATCAAAAATTCAAAAATACGAATGTCATGAAAAATTATTAGAAAAATAAATGTTATTACGATTAAAGATTAAAAAACTTAAGTAAAGATGTAATTAAAATGTGTGCATATAATTATAAATTGTAACATGAAGGTCCAAAGTAATGTTATTATAAATTGAAGTTTTTTTTTTCTACATTTAAGTAAAAGAAAATGTATTATTTTTAAATTTGTTTAATTTAAATATTATTTATTTTAAAACGTGACGACCTTACACCCGCCACAAACCAAAGCTATCAATGAGTCAGTCAGTGTCAATCCCACCTTCCTCATTCTGTACAAAAACCCTCCATTTTCTCTACTGTTAATCAATATATACATTATTGTATATAGAAAAATAATGCTGCATCTGTTCTTGGCTGTGATATCAGCGGCGGCGCCGCTGACACTCTACGTGACGCCGATGAGGAACCTGAGCCGGTTCGTAGAGACGATGGAGCTTCTGTTCCGTCCTACCGTTTCCTATATGCTCCGCCTTTTACCCCAACTCCGCCGCGCCATCGCACACCTCCTATCCCCCGAACTTCTGACCTTCGGAAGGTAGATTATTAAGATCTATAAAATGTGGCTTGTGGTTGTTGGTTTTGACTTTGCAACAATTACAACTTCCTAATGCCTGTCTTTTTCGTTGCTGGGGGGTTGGGTCTCATGCTGTAAATTGTAATGCTTAAACTTGTTATGAGATGCGTGTGATGTAGATATGAGAAAACTGTATCTGTTTTGCACTGCCAGGAAATAATACATTGACTCGAATATTGTGGGTAATTTTTCTGTGGAATGTTGTATTGTTGTGTTGTAATTGAAAAGTGATAAGAACATTGGATTCCAAAGAGAAACTTTGTCGTATCTTCAGGATGAAATTTGAAACTTTTTACTGATCGATTTTGTTTATTTAATAACCACATGTTAGCTTTGCCATTGGACATTGATTTGTAGCTTAATTGTTTTAAAAAAAAAAGTGTGCGACTCTTTTACCTGACTGATAACGTCATGTGGTTACCTTTTAAAAGAACTCGAATTATCAATTTTTTAGTAGATCCTGCTTGATGGTATACCTTTTATGGATAGATGATCTTCTTCCTTTCAGTACAATGGAATAAAAAACATGATGCCATTGGTTTTGTCAACTTTTTCTACCTTGCTCGTGTTTAAAATCGAAATGTTAAGCGAATTTTCAAGGGTCGCGCCAATTACCCAGGAACGAAGATATGTTTTACTGACTGGTATATAGATTTATTTATTTATTTATTTTTATCGATATCTGGTTTTCCATTAGTCATGCGTTCTTGAACAACTTGTTTTGTGGTGGTGGTTGTGGGTTGAGGGTCAAGGTGTTTGTCCAGACTGGTTTAATGGATACGATTGGCGATATCTGATTTGATGTAGTGGACCAGTTGATTGAGGACACTGAAGCTTCATTCAATCCTTTTTATTACTCCAGTGGTAAATTGCTTCTCTTCCCAAGAAATGAGACGCCTCTATTTATCCATCTCTTGACTCAAAATGGGAGCAGGTTTGAAAAAGTATCATTTGATGATTCTATGTGAATTGCTAGAAACATGTGAAGTGTATGGTGTTCGCGAAATATTTCTTTCGATTTAAATTACCGTAAGTGTACGGGTCGTGATAAGTAATAAAGTGGACTTTAGAAGTCCGAGTATCGTCCCACAGAGAAAGAGTAGTTCAATTTTATTTATTTTAGTCTTAACCGAAACTAATTGAATTAAGATGAATTTTGGAATCAAAAACCCTAATTTTGGGAGAAATCCCCAAATTGAAAAACCCTAATTTCAAATCAAACCCTAATTACTTAAATTCACTTAACGAATGATTCAATTACAAAATGTTATGAAAATAAATGAAATGTACTGTCAATTTATGAAAATCTATGTAAAACAAATGCACTAGGATCACGAATCCCCACATAATTACTAATTGAACTCCCTAATTTCACAATTTTGATAATTCAATAAGAATTTGACAAATCAATGCTCCTAAATATATTCAATACTCTCTCTCGAGATGTATTGAACCTATTCTCATAAATCATCAGCTTATATCTCTATGACGGATGCAATTATACAATAAAGATTGTAATCTTTTTGTGAGCAATTAAAGATTTATATAGGGCATAGGGGTATATTTCTATTCCTTATCGAACCCTATGATGAATTATATATGTCGAGTTTAATCCAATTTTCTCAAATTCAGAATTAAACCACCAAGTTCACACAAATTAAGTGCACATTAATTGTGGAAATAAATAAAGCAATATAATCCATTCAAATATCCCATCGAACTAATAATTCAAAATCATGAAATAACAAGTTTAATAATAATTACATGGTTCATCGATCACCTAGTTGCAGAAATCTAGCCTATCATGATAAAAATAACGAAATCTAACAAGTTTTGAATAAAATACATCACCGGGTTATCAAAACTTGAAAAAATCTTGTAAATCTTCGCATCAATTCTTGTTCTTGCCTTCAAATCATCTCCAAGATGAATGTTTTTGCCTCCCAATTCGTTCGTACGGCTTCTGGATGTTTGTCTGCTATTTAAACTCGTCCAAATTAGGTTACCAAAGGAGTTGCAATCATATAAGGAAACTACAAAAATCGGGGAAAAATTATACTTATGCGACCGCATAGGCATAAGAAAAATGGCGTTTTTAATCCCTGGAGGGTCACTCGCGACCGCATAGATTTTATACTATGCGACCGCATAGTAGAGCTAACTTCTAATTTGAGTCATTTTGATCCTCAAGTTTCATTCCTTCACTCCTTGACCTCCTCTCTTGTTCCTAGTTGCTCCAATGTTCCATTATAACTTCCAATTGGTGCTTGGCTTGATCAATTGCTTGATGCGTTCATCGGGTCAACTTTCAGATAATCGTAATTTGGTCCCTGAATTTTCATTTTGCTCCAATTTGGTCCTTTTCGGCTCTTTTCTCCTGAATTCCACTATTTTCATAGAATTACCTACATTGCATGAATTTGACAAAGTTAAGTAACAATTCAATCATTTTACTTGTATTTAAGTCATGTCTGTGATGTAAATGAGTGTGCAAAAACACACTTATCAAACCCCCAAACTTGAACTATTGTTTGTCCTCAAAAAAGATAGTGATATAATTCTGAACAAACATGGCTTAACACCTTGCCTTGGCTCAGGATTGGACTAAGTAATTGATTTTATGAAAATTTATTGGTGCAAAATGACATCAACCTTTACCTGTTAAGTGCATACTTGACGTGTGTGTGTGGATTCATGCTAACATATCAAGTTCATGATGAGTTTGAGTCCCGACATCCAAGTGGTCAAATATCTCCTTACACGCTCGAGAGATACACAACCCCCCAAACTTATTCTTTTCACTCGATTATCCTGGGGTTGTGTTTAAAAATTATGAGTTTACTTAGCTATAGTTCTCACTCTCTCGTAGTTTGGATTAATCTCACTATCACAAGTTCACACGTCAACAAGTGAAGGCTCTCCTAATTTTGATTGCTTCGACACTCAAGACTAAACTAGGTTACTTGCCTCACCTCAAAGGTATAGTTTCTTCCACCAATTGTCCAAGGGCTTTTCTTCTTATTATTGTCTCTTTTTGTTTTTCTCACTTTTCTCTGGTTTTTTTTTTTTAATCTATCATCTTCTCATTTGCTTTTTATATAACCCATGTAACGAGCTTTAGGCCGGTGACTCCCAAACCAGTTGGTTTTAAGGCACCAGGTTTTAAACTCATGTAGGCTTATTCACCCGAGTTATAAAGGCTCGATCAGATGACTTTTTATTAACTTCTTTACTTCTTGCTTTCTATATGACCCATGTATCGAGTTTTAGGCCGGTGACTCCCAGATCAGTTGACCTTAGGGTACCAGATTTTGAAATATCTTTACAGGCTTATTTGCTCGAGTCATAAAGGCTGAAAAAGAAGTATCTTATTCTCACAAATTAAGTTTATGTCCTTATTTTTCTAGACATCTGGTATCCAAAACCAACCCTCAATTTAAGATTTTCACCTACTCTTCATCTCACTGGTCTAGGCAATCCACACAATAATTCATGCACGGAGCCTCACTTATCTCAATGTTCTCCTATAATAGCTCAACTATCACCAAACTGTCTTAAGCTAGTTTACGGGTTAATTCAATAGAGGGTTATAATTATTTTCTACTTTATGCTCAAAACCCTAATCACTTACCTAACATGTAAAACATGAATAACGTGCATATAGAATGTCAAGTATTACATCAACAAGTATTAGTTGGCCTAATTAACATCGAC